TTTTGTTCTTTGATTTTAGAGTCAATAACTCAACCTTTGTGAGATTTTGTGTGGTGTTTGTGTTCCGACTACTCTCTCCTCATGGAATGCACCGCCTGCCCCGTCCACCATCATTCACCCTTGATCTGGTACCTTTGTTCTACCCTCCTTATCTTTCCTCCAATGAGGACAATGCCGTGCTTAAGTGTGGGGGAATGTTCGATTATGTATGTGTGTGAATGTTTGGCTGTTTGTGTGCTTAGAGCCTAGTCCACTGTCCAAATTTCAATTTGAGGGCTCCAAGTACGTGTTTCCTTGCAAATTGCCTGCTCAGTATGCTTTGAATTGACAGTCTCTATAGTAATATGCAACCTAGGGAGGTAGTGTAGCACTATAGAGGATGTTGAAGTATAAGATTTTTCCTATCTAGCTCTCTGCTGTGCCGGCTGATTTTGTGAATTAGTGAAGTTAAGACAGTTGAATTCATGTGGTAATGGTGACTCCGTTTGAATTTTTTTATGGACTCGTGTATCGAACAGGGGGCTCATGTGCGAAATGAAAAGCAGTTGGTCCTCCATGTCGACATCATTGAAATCTTAAACATGGGGTAAGCCCAACGTGTGTGGCACCGTTCATTGCACAAAATCGGGTTTTGGAAGAGATTTTAGTGATCCTTAGTGGGGTACTCCTACAAGGTGAAGCTACGTTGTCTCTAGTACAAGTAAAATTTTCACTCGTTGAACGGTTTGCCTACTCGAGGATGTGTTTTTAAGGGCACGGATAGAGCTTCCGACCCCCCTTAATTTCATTGACCCTCCACATGAGTTGAGGAAAAGGAGCTAAAAGAAGTACTCTGGCGAGCGCCAGATGTACAGAAATTGCTCTTGATCGACTAATAAGGGTCGACCGTGCAAAAGACTGCAGTTGGAACCCCCGCCAAGTGAATGAAAAGAAACAAAAAAAGAAAAGTAAAATGAAAGTGAAAAAGGGGTTCCAACTGTTAAATGAAGTGAAAGAGCACCCCGGTACAATGAGTCATTGGTTGTGAATGGTGTGAGTCCCTTTATCCATGAACTGGTTGTCTTACTTCCATTTCTTCTCATGATCCTGGTTTGAGTCTAGTACTCGCATTGAGAGAGATAGGGGACGTCTTAGAAGACCAGTTGACCTCGTAAGCTGCTATATGATCTAGGAAATCCTCTACTGACGATCGTGGTTGTGTGTTGCTATAGAGGTCTGGAGAGCTGCGTTGGTTTGAGTTAGGTTTGCTTGGGGACAAGCAAACAGTTAAGTGTGGGGGGATTTGATGACTCGATATTTGCACATGTTTTCCCCTTTGTTTCTTGATTGTTTGAGCTTTAATTATCGTGTCTTTGTCCTATTTTACGCTAGGTTGTGTTCCTTTGTCACATTTCAGGTCCTAGCACGTAAAGTGAAGCCTAGTCGCAAGTTTCAAGTCAATCAGAGATCAATTGGCGATTCGGGAGAAGAAACTCGGGCATGACCTGAAGAAGAATGGATTTCTGCCTCATTTATGGACAAAGAATCATTCAAAATTGTTATGAAAATAAAGAGGACGAGACTACGAGCGTCTGGGATCAAACGGCGACTGATTCGGAGTCCGGACGAGGGAGAAATGAAGCATTGAATATAGGGGAACATGTTCGGCAGTAAAAACACGGGCAGACTACCCTAAAAACACGGCCGTGTCCATATTTAGGCACGACAGTGCTTTGGCCGATGAGGGTGTGTCGTGAGGGCTGCTGGGGGCAAAACACGGGTGGGAAAAAGTAAAACACGGTCGTGCCCTCGACCATGTTTTGCCCAGAATCGTGTTTTTGAGGCAGATTCAAGACAAAGGAAAGGGAGAGCTGGGTTTTGGTTCCCAAACGCCCAAGGGACGAACCCTAGAGAGAGAGAGCGATTTGGGAACATTCTTGGAGCTATTTTGTTGGATTTCTTCGCTATTGGAGCTCGGGAATCAAACTTGGAGATGGAGATTGAAGATCTAGATCAGATTTCTGCAGTCTCTCTCTTCTCTATGGAGTAACTTCTCTTCACTTAGGTTTTGAGGAACCCTAGTTCCATGTGTTAGGATCTTTCTTGTATGAAGTTTTGGATGCTATATTGTTTGATTATAATCGATTGAGGCAGGATTTATTGAGTAAATTGAATCTTGATCAATTTCTCTTGATTTCTGCTTTAACTTATGATAGATAGAATCTGATTAGGTTAAGAGAGCTTCCTTGATTGATAGTGGTGAATTGGTTGTGCGAGAGTCAATCAATTCACTGCTTTGTACTGGAATTCATTCCAGTAGTGGAGATCTGTGTGAATCACCTTAGCGGTCTATCCCGGTGAAGGCTAGTCGCATGTCGGGTATTCTGTCTAAGAGGGCTTGGTCAACTTAAGAGATTCCAAGCTAATTTAGGATCTTCCGCAGTTTAATCAACAGTAGATCAACCAAAGGTAATTGCAACTTGGACCTAAATGAGGAGCTAGGGGAAATCATACCTAAGTGAGTTCCCCACTTGTAATTAGTAGAGTAGTTAGTAGAGTAGTTTAGTAAATCAATCCTTAATCTAGTTTGCTAGATAATGAACTGAAGCTGAGTAATAGTAACTCTAGAGACCCGTGGATTCGATATTTATTACTTGTGCCACTATACTGCAGTCCCTTTCATTGGTTACACTTGGCCATTGTTAGGTGTTGTGTTTTAGCGTGTCAATAGTCTACAAAGTCGAAGGACTCTATCTCTAAACGAGACAATATCAGTGCTTTACGCGCCACCCAATGGGTAGAACTGTTAGCAGTTCTAGGAACCGCCCTTAACTCTATACAAACTGACAATGAATCTATGATCTTACGACACTCTCAGAGCACAGGACCACCATTGGAATATTCTAAGACGCCTTGCGTGATTTGCTTAATGACCACCTTAGAATCAGCTTCCACAATCACTTGATTAAAGGATCTTGAGGTGACGGTGGTGATAACTTACCGTGCTGCTAGGAGCTCTACTAGGTAGGGGTTGACCACTCTCTGGTGACGCATGACAGCTGCTAACACCACGTACCCGTCTGACCCACAGAAAACAAGACCAGACGATTACCCAGCGTCTCGACCAGCTGCATCAATGTTGAACTTCAAAAAGTCTTTTAGTGAAGACTCTCTGGTGGCTGGAGGTGGATTCAGGAGGAAATAGGGGGAGACAGAAGGGGGGAGATTGGAGACTTTAAGGACCTAAGTAGTTAAAATTGAAGTTTAATACTCAGAAAAAACAATTAAATTCAAAATTCTCGCAATCAAGAGAATTTTCCATCAATGCTATCAATAGGACACCCTCGCCGAAATTTTGCTCGGGACTGTAGAAATGAACGATGGTGATCAGAATTTGTCATCAACACCGTCAGTCATGGTCAAAGTTCCCCTTCTGGTCATCGTAATACCCATCTTTACTCCGGCCTCCGTATTACCTATCGCAATGCTCAAAATCTCTATTGTGAACGCCATGATACCAATATTTTGACTGGCGTCGTCACTAGTAATGATTAGCAACCTCCTCAACCCTTCTTCCCCTGTTGTACCACCGCCTCTTACGATGTAGCTCTCCTCTTTTCTCGACAGAGCGGCGCCTTTCCCGCTCTCTTCTCTGGAAAACCCAAGAACCCGACCACCATCAATTTTCCTCTACTCCTCTAATGAAGACTCTTGTGGCTCATCTCTCGCTTCTTACACTGCGACTTCTTTGTAGAAGAGTTCTTCATCGACGGTCGTCGTAATTTGACCTCAATATTAATCCATCCTCTTGATTGACACCATCATCGCAACGATTGGATTTTCTAACAATGATCTCTGTAAAGATTTCTCACCCCTTCCGAGCAGCCTGCGGTTGATTCGCCACCACCATAAGAGCAGAAGACAACTCCTTATTCTCCATCTTCTTTTGGTCATTGTAGTTGGTTGAAGAAAAATCCAGGTCGAGCTACATCATAATCTGGCATCTTAGTGCTTCAAGCTCGTCCTACCGATTGGAAGCGGCGATGGCAGAATTCATGATGTCGAACAAGCCGTCTTTGGTTCTCAACAAAAGCCCATAGCTCCCCATTTAGAAGGTAGGGAGTGCCATTGTGAGAAATCAGAAAGAGTTATTTAAGCGGGGAAGTAGGAAGTAGATCAGCGGCAGAGAATTTAGTGAACTGAAATGACTTGTCGATAGGTGATGACATTGGGTCAGCGGATCGTGCTAGGAGGAGGATTAGATACATGCCCCTTGAGCTAGTACCCATTTTAGCGAGTCTCGCACCTTATTTCATCAAACCCAATATTATGAACCATTTGCATGATAGACCTAAATCTAGGGTGAGGGCGATACCTCAATGTACTTACTTTTATCTTTGCTTTCTCCACTAGTACTTTCCATTTGACCTCCAAAACAACCCTAAACCAAACGATTAAATAACAACAAAGTGAGAAGTAGCCTGTAGTATCGAAACCCATGGAATACGACCTTGGTCGACCATTATATTAACAATGTTGTCTTGGGTTATACTTTGCTGAAGATGGGTTAGTTGATACAAGTCGTGTAGTCAATTAATAACCAGCACGGGGTCACATCAATAGATTATAAAACTTGCACAAAGAGTAAGAGAAGTAGATTAATTCCAATAGTAGAACGAACAAGAGATTACTATTATATACTAATATGATAATTATTCTTAATTTATCTCTAATTTGACTTCAAATTTCATTTAAATTCATTCTTGTGATGAGTCGGTTGGCTCCACACTTCTTCAAGGATTTGAAAGTAGCTAGTCTTTTAACGGTGGGTTTGCTGATACGGTATACTAGAAGAATGCAGCCCATCCAGGATGCAAAAACCTATTTTAGTGCAAGATAGGAGATGATTTTGGTGGCCCAAGCTCCTAGTCCTGGTGATAATAAAGCAATGACCACAGTCGACCCCAAAAAGTCACTAGAAGCAACCACCATCTGAATTTCATGATACATGGGTCTGGTAATTAATAGAGAGAAGAAAGAAACCATAATAGTAATGGTACTATTTAATTAATTTAGTGTGTCCTCCTAATTCTACTACCATGGACAAAAGTACAATCGAGGTCCTATAAATGAAGAAAGTAGGTACCAAAAATGAAAGAAAATACTAAACGAAATTGTTCATATTGTGAATGTCTCTAGCTACAATATTTGGTTAGGGTGGTCCATAAACCAATCAAGCCATCTTCTTGGTGGTGGTGTTATGAGTGGTTGTGGTGGTGCATTCAGCAGCATCCACAGGGGGAGTCTGTGTCACAGCCTTTTCCCCGGCTTTAGCAACATGGAGTTGCATCTCTGCTTGTGCCTCCCTCGCCAATCGAACCTCTTTTGCAACCTCCATCCTCGCTTTTGCCACCTCCTGCTCCGCCTATACCGCCACGTAACAATACAATGCAATAATCCTTTATTTTTAATTGGTACATAAAAAGTAAAAACGTGATTGAATCATAAAAACAATACTCATCTGCACGTATACGACTATATTAACGGTGTACCTTCTCCTCAGCTTTGGCTTCCGCCTTGACCTTGCGCATGTCCTTCATATCTTGGATCTTCTCCTTCACAGCCTGCATCTTGTTTGTTTGCTAACGCCTGGTTGGCTTACTCTACTTGATAGTTATAGGCTGCTATTTCTAATTTGTTGCTAATTCTATTCGTATCTATTTTCTGACGATGCTCGACAACTTTGGTTATTCGAGTGGAAAAAGGAAACCAAGCATGTTTCATCTTTATATAATCAACGAACCTGATGCTTCGGGATAAGACAGATGGTGGTGGATAAAGGGTTGAATGAGTCATCAAGTTGGATCCGCTTACATTGCCCTATCTTTTCTATTGAATGGCTCCTCATAATATTTAATCATCATCTAATTAATTAATCAATGGAGGAAAAGAACAATGGTTAATTAACTTTCCATCTAATCCCCTTCCTTATTCCATTGGTCCTCCATAATTATTATTTTCCAGTTTTAGAGCGTACATGGGCAAATATAAGTATTTTTTATGACGTTATTTTTCTTTCCACACACATACTAATACAAACTTCAGAAACACATCGTAACTTCATTTCAATCAAACGCCTTGCTTTGGAAACTCCGATCCTAAAAACATGTATTTTGAAGAATACATAATTATTTTACTTGATTTAAGCACATAATTCAATTTTTCTAGATTCACTATCACTAGTTTGTTTAATTTCATAATCCATGCATTCTTTATATTTTGCAAACACTGAATTCTTAAAACCCACACATTTTTAGTAAACAGATAGACTTAATATATACATTCGTGTAATACATCATTTCTATAATCAAAGAATCCAAATGACCTCCTAGGATATAAAGATAAATGAAGAGAACTTTTTTTATGGTTAAATCAAATTTATATTAGAACCTCAGTGCAACCACCTGAAAAACTCAAGTTGCCTCTTGGTACATCAAATACATTCATCAAAAGGAAGTTTGTTGTTGCTATCATTAGTTACCAATGAATAACCTACGCATAACTATGTATACTAATCACATGGAATACACAAATAAACAACAACAACAACAATAACAACATACTCTATACTCATCAATTTGTCCAACTCGTGAGCAAGTTGCATATATGCTTATTGTTGAATCTTTTGATAAGCTACCTTTTTGTTTCACTATTCAGTGCAATGGAGATTTTGCCCCTCCGCCACCATGCATTTTGACGCACCTTTCCCTCCAAATGCAACTAACAATCGAATGTCAAAATAGTCTTCCCAGTTGAGCTTTTGCAGTTGTGCCAGCCCAGTACTTCATACACCATTCCAGCAGGGTACCCCATTCATTATACTTTCAAGGGGGTTCGCATGCAAACATTGGGTCAACACACATCTCGTGTAGGCTACTCAAATTGAGCCTTATTCTTCAAACAAGTTCCATATGTGTCTTATCACACAGGCGAGATTCCACAACTTAAAATTTCTCACACCTAGACCCACTTCTATTTAGGCCTCACCACATATTTCCAAACTATATGATCTTTATGCCTCATACAATCCTCATCAATATTCCATAAAAACTTAATTCATAGTTTTTCTACATCCATTATTACATACCGAGGCAGCAAGAACAGGTTTATCTAATATTGTAAGATCGATACTAGTTAAAACTGAATAAACAACTGAAGCCTCTTTGCATGGCTTAGAATTCAAGCTCTTTAGCTTATACTACATTTGAGTTATCTTATTAATCAAAACAATGCATATTTCCTTAGTGTCACTGTTATGAGAGGGACACCTAAATACTTTACTGTTAAGTTCGCCAAAAGGAAGCCAATATATTCTGATATAGCTTTCTTTTCCTCATCATGTATCCTGCATAAAAAAGTTCACACTTTACATGATTACATTTTAGACCAGATAACAGATATAATTCATGAAAACCCCTTCTTGATCCCTCTACCGACTCCACAACATCATCTCTTTCTAGTGGTGGTTGCTGTCATTTGGAGAATCTGGCGGTCACGCAACTAGGTTTTCTTTGAAGGAAAGCATTTGGGATCACGGCTCCTATGCAAAATTTCAACCAACAATACCAAGAGTGGGTTAGCTTTCCCGTGGATCGTGCGGTCCATCCTCACGCCCCTTTACCACAAACATTGGTTGTAGGCCAGCCGGCGGAAATAGTTTGTCAATGGATGGGGCAACGAGGAGTGGATCCGATTCGGCCGGTGGGATGGTTGTCCGGGATCAGCAAGGGTAGTTCTCTTGGCAAGCGGGGTTCAGTTTCCCGCAATGGATGATCCTATGGTGGTGGAGCTGCTCGGTCTCCGGGAGGCTATTCTTTAGTGTTTAAATTTGGGATTTTGGGAGATACGATTTGAAGGTGATGCCAAAGTGATCGTTGAGAATATCCATCAATCTGATACCCAGGATAGTCGGATGGGCACAATTCTTGAGGAGGTCACGCAGTACGTCGCAATTAATAGTGGCCTTAGTGTACGATTTGTAAGTCGACGTAACAATAGGGTAGCCCATCTGGTGGCTAAAAAAGCCCTTTCATTGTACCCGACTACAAGTCGGTCTTTTGATTTTCTAACCTGGCTGAATTCCAGGATGTAACTATCTCTTCTCCAATCGATATATCTGATTATCTTTTGTCAAAAAAAAATTGTTTCGTGTTATAATCAAAGCATTCTTTATATTTTGCAAACAATCAATTCTTAAAACCCACACATATTCTTAGTATACAAATAATCTTAATACACACATTCTTGTAATACATCATTTCTATAATCAAAGGATCCAAATGACCCCCTAGGATATAAAGGTAAATGAAGTGAAATTTTTTATGGTTAAATCAAATTTATATTAGAAACTCAGGGCAATCACCTGAAATACTCAAGTTGCCTCTTGCTACATCAAATGCATCCATCAAAATGAAGTTTGTTGTTGCTATCATTAGTTACCAATGAAGAACCTATGTATAACTATCTATACTAATCACATCAAATACACAAAGAAAACAACAACAACAACAACAACAAAAAACTATATACTCATCAATTTGTCCAAGTCGTGAGCAAGTTGCATATCTGCTTATTGTTGAATCTTTATCTATAATACCTTTTTGTTTCACTATTCAGTGTAATGGAGATTTTGCCTCGGCCATGTGCACACTTCCTCGGCCAAGTGCACTGCCCCTCACCACCATGCATTTTGACGCACCTTTCCCTACGAATGCAACTAATGATGGTCTATGGTATTGAGGATCTTCAAACATTAAGCAACATTACCATTTGAGTATCAGAGGGTTGTCCTTTAACAACCATATAAAGGACTAGACCATCGATGTTCCAAAAAGGATTAACAATGCTATAGTGCATCTCATTAATTCATAGAAAGCAATACAATACACATCATAGAATCAACATCCTAAATAATAAAGGATTTAGCTACCATGAGAGATTGAGTGAGGAAAATCGAGGGAGTTGTTCTCTCCTCAATCAGACAGAGTTTTAATTGCTTAAGGAGTAAAATTTGGTCTCTAACTAAAGACTGAACACATATTTATAGTAGAAAATGAGGGATTTTCTAGTCTTTTTCCTCCTAAATGTCGGACAAATCCTTCCTTATCCGACTTGAATTCAATTTCCTCCAACTTGTTCATGTTTCCTCCAGTGGCAGAAGGATCCGATGTGGGGCCATTGCTTGTTTCTTCTTACGCTTGGACCGAATCTTCTTCTATTGGGCTTGTCTTGTGCCCATATAACGACTTCTAGTAGACTTCTCAATTATTAGATCTCACCTTTATCACGAAAGCTCCATTTTCCTCTTTATAGCTCCTTTGGTTCTTAAGATTTCTTCAATGCTTGATCTAAACTTCCTTAGGTTGTTTGCACCTTCCAAACGGTAAAAAAATACCACGAACAAGGGATTGGTCTAGTGGTAATACTACTAGCCTTGAACCTGGAGGTCTCAGGTTCGAATCCCTTCAGTAGTACCTAATTACAAAAAATAACCTATATCACCCTTATCTAAAAAAAAAAAACGGTAAAAAAATACCAAAAAGGTATCAAAGAGTACAAAAAAACATAACCTAGGTCTATTAAAGGCTCATCAATCAATAATTGTAATTTGGTTAGGAAATACAAGAGAAAATGCTAAAGATGCTTTGATCAAAGGGGGAAATATATCAAGTATGGAAGTGATAAACACTAAATAAAGTGTCATCGGAAATACCCCACACTTGAACTTTTCTTGCCCCCAAGCAAACACTACTCATAACCATACAACTCAATGAATTCTAGGAACCATCACTCAACCTTGATCTTAGGCAGTGGATCATAAGCAACTTACAAGGTCAAAATTAAAATGAGATAATCCTAACCACATCAACATGCAAGAACACCATATCATATAATCGAAGCATCAACTACTAACCATGCATCAGAGTCTCAAAACAATAGGGTGAAGCTTTTGATACATTTATGCTTGAATGCTTTCTACCATCGATTTGACATTTCTTTGGTCTCTGTGTAAGCTTCAATGGATAAAGCTTGACGGTTCACTCCAAGAAGTTTACCTGCTGAAGGTTTCTCAACATTGATGTGTTCATCCACATCGTCATCTTCAGAATTAGCATCAGAGCCGAATCCATTTCCCATGGGCTTCTCTTCATACTCCTCAGAAAAGTACTAACCATCTCGCAAGACAAGAGTCTTCTTGTTGGGGCACTAGTTAGCCTTGTGACCTCGGCCAAAGCACTTGAAGCATTGGATGCTCCAATTGAGCCTTCATTCCTGGCTTGAATGGCTGGGGCTAAGTTCCTGGAAGTTGGTTCGTCTCCTTCTTACTTGGGATGATTCATGTTAGCCTCAGGAATGTTCTCTCCAACAGGTTTGGGTGAAAGTGGGTACCTTCTTCCCGAGCTCACCTTCAGCTGCCTCTATACCTTCATGGCCAAATACATCGCTTCCTCCAGCTCCACAAACTGACAAAGCTCTACTTCATTTCTGATTTATCTATTAAGCCCATGTAGAAAACGAGCAATTGTTGCTTCCTTGTCCTTCCTCACATCTGCTCTCATCATGAGCAGTTCCAGCTCCTTGAAGTACTCATCAATAGAGCGCTCTCCTTGTCGAATTCCCTATAAGGCATCATGGAGATCTTTATGATAGAATGGAGGCACAAACCGATCTCTCATCAAGCCTCAAAGTTCTGTCCAAGTAGAAACTTCAGGCTGCAGATTCCTTCTCCGTCGTTGTTGAATCTTTTCCCACCAAACTGTTGCATAATCTGTTAACTCATAGGTGGCTACTATAACTTTCTGATGTTCTGGGTAAGAATTGCACTGGAAAA